TCCACACCAACCACATAGCCAACAACACCACTAACAACCGTCAAAATTACTTCCCAAGACGATATGATCATTGAGACGCGATACAAAGGGCCGCCCGCCCGCATCAAGGGCACTCCAACGTGAGTGAGCTCGTCGTTGCAATTCTTCGTCAACCCCATCATTGTCGTCCCAGTTCGCCCTCTCGTTCCCATCTCATCTCATCTCATTCAACTCTGTCGCGGTGTCATCATGCCTCGGCGTGCTTCATCTGGCCCACATCCACACCCGCACATCACCAAGCTTTGACTACTCCGTCCAGTCTTTGCGCAAACGGGGTCATCCAGTGCACAATCATTCGTGATTTGTCTGCTTAGGTCGCCTTTGCCTCTGATGTTTTCATGTTGTAGAGCTTCTTTCCCAATAAGCACCCGCTTTCTCAGGGGTGGGCTTTGATTGAGATGTTGCTCCGTTCCCCTTCTGTTATTAACGCGTCTTCATTTCCCGCTATCACCATGTGGCCTTTCTCCTCTCTCTCTCCACCTTGCTTTGCCGTTTTGAGTTCATTGAAGCTGACTCGAGTTTGTCCCCGGGGCTTTAGTGAGATGCCAGGCACCTCCATCTGCGACTCTGTCGTCCAGGTGGCGCCTAACGCATGGAAGCTGGGCGACCTCATCATCTGTGAGAGGGTCGGTACTGGACCTGTCAACGGTGCTGCCGTCACCAGCTGGAGAGATGAAGAGGGAATCCTGTGGTACCTGCGCAGAGGAAGGAAGTCCGACACTAGGTATTTCGGAACCGGCCGCTACGCACCGCCGTACCACAGATCTGGAACCTCCGGAGCCATCTGGAAGCTCGGCGGCATGTATGTCAAAGTCAAAGCGTGGACCGATGGCTTGGACCCCGAGTCAGACACGCTCAAGATCATTCATGAGACGTGCCAAGGTGTGCCTGTCCCTCAAGTCATCGCTCACTGGGTCGACAAGAAAATGAATCGGTCCTTCATCATTCTCAGACCTTTGGCCGGTCAGATGCTTCTGCACGCCTGGCCCTCGCTGTCGCCTGAGCTTCGCCAACATGTTGCCAACCAGGTCGCCGACGCTTGCGAGATCATGGCTAAGCACAGCGCCACCTACATGGGCAGCGCTGCGGATCCCTTGAACGGTTGTCGCGACCATTACCTCTGCCCGGAACGCCCTGTCAGCATACCATCTTGGAAGCCCATCTCACTTCCCCGCATCGACGAATGGAACGGCCAAGAATATTTCGATCCCTTTCAGATTGGCCGAGTCTTCTACCTTTATCACCCAGAGCTGGAACCAACAAACATCTTCGTCACGCCCGATGGCCGTGTAACCGGTATTCTTGACTGGGAGCGCGCGGGCTACTTCCCAAGATGCTGGATCAGCACCAAGCCTCAGGTCGCAGACGAGTTCTTGTTGGACGCAGGCCCTGGCGTGCCCGACGTCACCGAATGGCAACGCAGACTCTCCACAACCCTCGAGGAGAGAGGCTTCATCCCCGAGCGCGAGGAATGGGAGGAATTTCGCGGCAGGGTCTCCGGCACCGTTTCGAGAGCTGTGTCCTTTGCCAAGTTTTTTGTGGCCCAGCACGAGGAGGCGGAGGCAGAGGCGGAGGACGATGATGTTCCAATGGAGGAGCCGATTCCGATGATAATGGATGAGCCGGTTCCAATGGACGAGCCGGGCGAGGCAAGCGGAACAAACGGGCACCATGATCCACATGATGCCTGGCATTAGCAATGAGGTTTGTTAGTCTTGTGTCCAATGGCTTTGTTGCATGTTCCACTCGATTCTTGTACGACCAAGCTGCCCCATTTGTGTTGGATTGGGGCCTGGGCAGCTTTCGGGTTTCACCCTCTTTTCCCCATGTTTTCTCTTTTCTCCTTCTGTTTCCTTTTTCATAATTATCTTCCCCCTCAGCTACCTTTTCCCTTTTAACATTTTCTGGCCAGCTCTTTGGATATGATACTCTCTTCGTCTTCGAGGACGATCTGTTTTCTTATGTTATTTCCTTGGAAGGCGTTTCGATCGGAATAAATGGCGCGGAATATGGAAAGGATGAATCAATTGTATGGCAAAAAAGCAGCAGGAAGCAACCGGTATCAACGGGCCGAGCCAGAAAGGTAGCAGAATGAACTGATGACTTTTTTCTTTTGGAACTGAAGCCCTTCAGCCTTGCATGTTTCTTGCGAGCGGTGACATGGTGTAAATGAGTGAACAGTGCCATCAGGGACCCGCTGGCCGTAGAGCTCCCCAAAGCAAGGGACATGGATGTGGTCATGCAATCGCATCGAGGCCTGCGTGGTGCGTACCGTATCGTATGTGCGTGTAGATGTGTGATGGTGCTTGGCCATGTATTGCCAACCAATCAACGCCATGCCAAGTAGAGCTCGTATGGAAGAGGGTGCAATCACCTTGAACTGCGGCAGCTGACACACTTGCTAGGCTTGCTAAGTGCTTGGAGAATTTTTTTTTTGATAGTGTTAGAGTATGGACTGCAGAATCATAGACTGTGAGGTGGACTGTAGACTGACATGATAAACTACAGCACCTGGAAATCAGTCCCAATTGGGTATCGAAGCCTGGCGTTGGCCTCGCATTTGTCAGAGCTGCATTCTCCTCGACACGCCATCACTGGTATCAGGGTGCCATCGTGGCTAGAAAATCTGCCTGCAGCCGTTTATATGCGAATTCTTGCATTCTGAAGGGTGTATTAGTCGGGGCATCCTGGGAGAAGTGCCTTTTGTGTGTCGGCTACTCAACGTACTCGGGAAATCTGGCAGCAAGCCGTTCTTCCGTAAAGACATCGTTGCGTCCCGATTTGCTAGACACATGCAAGCGTAAGACCAACGGTATGTAATTTGTAACTACCGGTGGCCAAGACGAGAGGTGTGCTGGGCCTCTGTATCGGATATTGAAAGCTCGATTGATCCGTTGAGTTTGCGACACTCGTGATAGAATTGAACGTCGAGGCTTTGGCGATGTGTACATATAGGCGCCCAAGGTGGAATATTCGGGCGCGGCTCACAAGATGCTCGCTGCTGACGACGAAAACCGCTGATTCTGGCTCCTCGAACTTTCTGGAAGGGAGCGGTGGCATGCTAACAACGGCAATGGAGCGACAACACCATGGTGGGAGAGGCAGTGCACGAGGCGGTCGGCGATGGAGATGGGAGGAACTGGCCTCGCAAGACATCGGACAGGCTGTCAGCTTACCTCCTTCCCTCTGAACTTGTCGTACGAAGAGGAACACCGATACCGCAGTGAGGAAGGTCCAGTTTCTGCGAGGTCTCAACCTGCGCACTTGCCGTGGCAGGCACGAGTCACAACCTCAGTGACGCACCAAGGCAACAACCTACGCCCTTAATTGGGAAAGCTTCCAAATGGTGGATACGACCAGCCAACCTTATGGGCTCCGGCTCGGGAGAAGCTCCAGTAGCAGAGGTTAGACAGTGCCTGGGACCAAAGTACCCCAAGAGGTAACGGCGCACCGGATCGGAGGAGCAGGCCACATTGCGCAAGCTTGTTCTACTGCCAAATTATCTTGATCTCGCGGAGCACATTCGATCGTGGCCGCTCGTACCTGGCTCCCCGGTGTCTCGGATACGAGAGCCGTTGATTGTGACAGGGTCCAATGCCATCCTCACCACCCTCTATCAGGCTGTACACGGATGGCGCATTGTTCTCTTCGGCCGGTATGTTCTTGACATCGATATGAGACTGCGCTAAAGCTCCAGGTAGCCGTTCTTGACTCCTTTAGCCTTTGATCCGCCTCTAACAACATTCCAGTAAAAGCTTGCAGATGCTGCCGGACAACGTCGCCCATTTACCACCGAATCCCAAACGAAGGCGATAATTCGATATCCATTGCATCGAAACCCCCCTGGACGCTCAGGTATAGGCATCGGAAACTCTCGACGGACAGCGTTTTGAGGGGGGGGGACAACATCTGCTTGGACTGTTGGCCGTCTGCCTTGAAGTTAAAAGGCTATATCTCGTATCTTCTCGTACCTCTATGGACTCTATCGCTTTATCGAAAGGCGAGAGCCATGGGGCAGTCATCGACACGGGTGTCAGACTTGGGTTCACATGCACGACTTTTGATCCGTTCCTGTGTCCCAGACTTTGTCAAGAATTGGCATCGAGGCATCCGGCAACCATTATCACACTGCATTTTGGATACGGCGCAAACTCTTATGGAGTTACTTTCCGGGAGAACCCATGGCCAACATCGCTACGCGTGGGTGCACTCTTCCAAGCCACCAATGATCAAGGTGCGCGACCAGTTTCGAAGCGAAGAGCTCACATGCAAGTTATTGAATGACATCTACACGCAATGCGCCTGCATCTTCGTGCCATACTGGCTGGACTGTGACAGGGACCCCATCCACACCCGATACAAATCTTGGCAAGACTCACCTACATCTTCAGGCACACAAAAGGCTTGGGAGGAGCATTAACTTCTCCAAAGGAAGGTCATTAAATTGAAACTACCGAAATTATCCCTAAAGACCGACTGCGACACTCAGCAGAGAGTGAGAAGACGAGAAAAAAAGAGTGTAGAAAAGGAAAGAAAGGGAAAATGAAAGCAAAAAGGGGAGAGAGAAGGGGAAAACAGAAGAGATCTGCCATTCATCATAAGCCTTTTTGGGGTTGACAGGCAAGCAAGCACAAAGGGTCTCTCCCCCAGCTGACTCCTCCCAAGAACAATCCAGTTGTCATCCTCCATTATATATAATATACCTAAATGGCCTTACCCACCACTACGGCATCAACAAAGGAATGAATCGAGCACTACTATTGCATCAGGTCCGGAAATGAGAGTCGCTCGCCAGACGGCACGCTGTCAAAGGCCATCATGCCCACGTCGGATGGGGCGATGCTTGTTGTCATGACCTCGACGGCACACCGGGCATGGCACCCGCAATCATGTTCAGCCCAGCCGCGGGCCAGTTCAGTGTTCGCTCGCGGTGGGCTATTTTGCAACTCGCCGGTTGACGGTCAAGTCTATGCAGGAATGACATAGATCTATTGCAGAGAGCAAAGAGCGGGACAGCGTCAGCTATGATTACAGACTGGGAAAGATGTGCTCGGGGGATGAAGGTTCCACTCACAGTGTCTTGCGGCTCCGGTGAAGGCGAGTCCCTGGCAATCTGCGGCACCTTCTCGCGTGCCAGCCTCTGCCGGATGGAGTTATGGGCCGCCTTGGATACCAGCGACTCGGGCTTTGACCCCGAAGCTGGTCCGGACTGGGTCTTGTTGTACTTCCTTTTCGGTTTTGGGCCGCCTTGGGCCGCGCTGGGTCTTTTCGCCGGTGTTTGGATGGGCGGCAATTTATTTTGGCTAGCCGGCAGGTTGCTCTGGCTGGGCGGCAAATTCTTTTGACTGGCCGGCAAGTTACTTGGGGTGGTTGGCAAGTTCTTTCTGCTGGTCGACAAGCTCTTTTGGCTGGGCGGCAGCTTCTTTTGGTTTGTCGATGAGTTCTTTTGGCTTGTCGACGAGTTCTTTTGACTGGCCGGCAAGTTACTTTGGGTGGTTGATAAGTTACTTGGGGTGGTTGGCAAGTTCTTTCTGCTGGTCGATGAGCTCTTTCTGCTGGTCGACGGGTTCTTTTTGTTGGTTGATGAGTTACTTTGGGTGGTTGGCAAGTTCTCCTGGCTGATGGGCAAGTTACTTTGGCTGGTTGATGAGTTCTCTTGGCTGATGGGCAAGTTGTTCTGGCTGGCTGACGAGTTGCTTTGGCTGGTGGAGTTATCTTGGCTGGCCGGCAGGTTATCTTGGCTGATCGGTGGGCTACTTTGGCTGGCCGGCAGGGTACTTTGGCTGTCCGGCGCGTTGAGATACGCATCTGATAGAGTGTTCTTTGCGTTCTCAACGTGGTCTTCGGGGAAATGAGCCACAAGTCTAAGGCGTGCCGCCGGCTTCGGCTTCGGGGTCTCCGCCCGGGCTTTCCCCCGGGCTTTCTCACTCGGTTCAGGTTGAGGCGACTGAGGTGGCTTCGGCGGCTCCCCCAGTCGTGGTGCCTTCATCAGCGACAGTTCAAACCGCGAAAGTAGGAGGGATGGATGCGGGTCCATCCGTTCCGGATTCGCCTCGCCAAGGATCTCCCAATAAAGCCTTAGACCTGACCTCTCCAGAGTCGGCAGCCCAAGCTTTGGATGCAGGCACGGGATCTTAGGCTCTTGGGTCCAATGCACCGGCTAGAGCTCGTCAGTTTCGGCCGAAGCTGATGGGATTGGCGAAGCTACACTCACATCTTCCGTGGTGGTCAAGTCAATAATGACTGGTGGAGGAGAAGGAGCGGGGGCCCGGCCGGCGTCAGCTGTCCCGGAGGTGATGTATCTCTCATTCTCGGAACTCTCATTCCCGTATCTGTCAATAATGACTGGTGGAGGAGAAGGAGGGGGGGCCCGGCCGGCGTCAGCTGCCCCGGAGGTGATGTATCTCTCATTCCCGGATCTCTCATTCCCGTATCTCTCATTCCCGTATCCCTCGTGCCCGTACCAGTCGTGCCCGAGCGAGTCGTGCCCGTACGAGCCGTACTCGTACGAAGCCATTGCGAAAAAGGAGTGTGGTGGGATGATGTACAGGAGAAGAGGGGGATGGCTTTCTTGGAGCGATTTTGGACGGTGATGCCTCCTGCGGTTTTAGAGGAGAGACACCCGTGGCATGTGACTGAGCCTTGAAGGGCGAGGGCGGGATATGCTTGGCCTATTCAGGGTGCGGGCAAGATTGCGCAGAACGGCTGGGCGAGACGAACGTGGAGCAAAGGCTTATATGATGGGCTCTGATCGATTCTCAGCGACTATGGACAAGGATGGGACCTATTGACGCTCGCGCGGTGACGGAGAGCCCATTCTGACGGTCACATCCTGAGGTCACATTTCATTTTTTGAGCCTGTCGCCACAGGACGCTCCCAATGTGACATCGACAGGCGATTGGGTCTCTGTTGGTTGGGTATCAGGTACTTCATGCGCACTATTATCTTACCTGCAAACTGACATAACCAGTCGTCTGATGGTGTGCCATCACCTTGCTTTTGTTTCGCCGCTTCTGTCTCTTTGCTTTTGTCTGAGGCTTGCGCCGTCTCTCGAATGGAGCAGGCGGCAGAGACATGCGTCAAAAGGATTCAATCGATAGTCGCTCAGCTCAGGCAGATCATCATGGCGATAGTTTTGCCCCCCCTGCTGTTGGGCAAGAGCAGAGCCTCTACCCGACGCGATGAGCAGCAAGCGCCTGCTGCTTACCCCATCCAGGACGCTATCTGCTGATCAGAGGCTCAGCGGACAATAGGAATGGATCTCTTCCTGCCGTGGAGGAAATCCCTGCCAGCACTCTCATCAAACCAGCCCAATCCCAGCAGAGGCACCACATCACGATGGCTAGCGTTAAGCGCCGCAGGAAGCCAGCTGCTGCACTCTGGACATTCAATCACGGTGGGAAACGCGTGTTGCAGCAGCGGACAGCCAATCCGCACGTCGCATCGGGCGTGCAGCATCTCCGCTCCAGAGGCCACGGTGTCTGAGACAAAACGCACACGGCTACAAGGGAGCTCCCAGTCGCCCCGACCAGAGCGCGGCCTGGAGCGCATTGATCTCTCATGCACGGGGCTACTTTCCTCCTACCTGCCTTGGCTGGGGGCCAATGTTCAGCCGCAGGTCGGCTCCCTCAAACATTATTACTCATTACCCCTCACGAGCAGGTGCATCCTTGCCCCTATTGATCAATGAGATGCGAGTGTGTTTGACCGAGCCAGCCCCCCATCCCAACCCTGCAAAGCCGCACAGGCCCCTTGTTTCCCCAGGTGGCCGATGAGTGCGCGTCAGCACAGGTAATGGGACAGTTGCTGTTGAATGTACTATCAGCACAGATACTGGGACGATTGCTTTCAATTGTACTACTCAGCCGGAAAATCTCCGCCCGCATCTGAGCGAATGTGGTATCATGCTATGTCCTATGGCCGTACATAGGGGAGAGCTTATTTCGTTAGGGTGCGACTGCACTTGGGCGGCCTTGACTACACTGAGGCGCGCCCTTGACTAGGTATGATACATGCAGCACCCCGTTGTGTGCGAGCTTCGGGAGTCCGTCTGAGACTTGCCTTGTCCGACAGTATTCGCAGCACAGACTTGGTTCGCAAATCTCGGAGCCCGCGTCAAGGCAAATGGTGGCGCATATGCAAGCCAGAACGGACATGGAAACAATCATCGCCCGTCTCTATGTTGGCTTGATCCTGCCACTGCCGGTTGTGTGTATACACGCCGTTGTCGTGAAATGACGATGGGAGCACAGCAGGTGGTTGTGGGCTAGCAACTGCCTCTTTGCTCCAAGTGCTAGTCGCACAAGAGACGCCGCAACGGCACCAATGCATCCATTCCAAGCTTTCTACACATTTACTGCACATGCAGAGGCAAGTGGTGACGGGCTTGTCTTCGGGAGGCCGCAGGCAGTGGCGTCGGTTGGGACAGTACCTCGAGCTCGGGGCAGAGTCACCAAAATCGCTGAGTCCCAGAGCCTTGTCCAACGTAGAGAGATGTAGATGTACAGGTGAGTTGAAACGGCCGGCCAGTCAAGCATCACACAGGCAGCGCCAGTCAGACTGTTAGCTCGTCGCTGGAAACCCAATGTATAAACCAGAGCCAGTCCTGCTCGCTCAGATTATGGTTCGCATACTCGATCATCCCTCCCATTGATCACCCAGCTTGCTTGCATTCCCCATTTCCGCACGTGTTTTGGAACATCCATATCGACACTCAACGTGAGCGTCATCCTACCACCATGATGTATACCAGCCAGACGCCTGGCAGAGACAGAGACAAGCGTGGTGGACAGAACACCAAGAACCACTACCTTGTCTGGCTGTACATTCTTCTTCTCCGTCTCGTCGCCCCGGCCAGTTTTGTCCACTGCCTCGTGCACCTATTCGTCTACATCTTTGAAGTCTCATGCCCCGCCATCACCGACCGCCCATGGCTTACTCTTGCCGCGTCCTCTGAAGTGCTCTGGTTCCTCAGCGTCCTACCGAAGAGACTCCATCTTCAGAGCACTCCCCCTAAGCCTGGCTTCAGAACACACTACGAGCGCGATGACCTGTTCTACAAGTGCTGCGAGTACGTGCCAAGCCTGGAGAAGTTCCTCAGCAGCTGGTTCCAGGGTGCCAGCGTCGAGGATCTCCACCGGGACGACGTCAAGGACTTCCTCGCCTGGACGTTCGCGAAGAAGTCTATAAGCTTCGAACACTACGACTGCGACCTCGACCGTTACATTACGCACATGGAGGGCGTCCTGGGCAGGACTTTCCCTCCCGGAAGAGGCTACCATCAAGCCATGCGCTTGTCGCTGGATCCGTTGCACGTTGAGCATAAGCCGCTAGTCTATTACGTGGTAAGGCAGCTGTTTTCTTTGGTCTGGTTACTCCTTTGGAGGTGATACGTCATACTTGGGCCCTGATCAACATGCACGCAGGCCACGTGATCTTGGTATCGCGGTGCCTCTTGGAGATGCGAATTAGAGATGACCATCGCAGTGCGTTTTGAGATGCAAATTGGAGATGACCATCGCAGTGCCTTTTGAGATGTGAATTAGAGATAAATATCATTAGTGCTTGAGATGCGCATTAAAGATGTACATAAGCAATAGCTAACCAGTCTACAGTTCGTCGTCGGCCTTGCAGACTTCACTTCATACTTCCGGCTCAGGCTCTGTGGCTTCGATCACTACCGCCTCCCCATCTACAAGCGCATGTCCGTCTTCCCCTGGCGACCACACACGGCCCTATCAAGGAAAATCTCTGTCTCGGAACACCTATCGTACTTCTACCGACCACACACCCGACGCGGCCGACGACCCGTCCTCTTCATCCATGGCTTCGGGCACGGCATATCCAGATACTCGCGCTTCCTCAAAGACTTTGACTGCCAAAACGGTTATAGTAGCAGCGGCGTGGGCATCATCGCCCTGGAGATCATGCCGCTCACCACGCGCGTCAACGAGGACGACATGCTACCCATGGACAAGCTGATGCGCGAGATCCGGCTCGTCCTCGCCCACCACGGCTGGACCGAGGTCACCATCCTGGCACATTCTGTTGGCACTACTATCGCCACGCAGCTACTACAAAACTTTGGCCACACTCAGGCCCCGAACATCGGCCCCATGGTCCTCGTCGACCCCGTCGCCATGACGCTGCACTGGGGCGATGCGCAGCTCAACCTCCTCTACCGTAACCGCGAGCAGGCCCGTACGGCGGCCGAGCTGGAGATGCGCCACCTCTTCGGGGCGGACATGACCATCGCGCACAGCGTCACGCACGAGGTCTTCGCCTGGCAGGACAACCTGGCCTGGCGGACCGAGTTCTACGGCCGCGAGGTGGCCTTCTTCGTCTCGGGCGAGGACGAGCTGGCCGACGCGCGGGACACGATGCGGTACCTGTGCACGTGCGCCGAGGTGCCCGTCGCCGCCGCCGATGCTGAGGAGGTCGCGGAGGCGAAGCCCGCGCGGTATGTCACCGACGAGCCGCGTGCCGCGATCCTGCACGAGGGGCTGGGCCACGGCGAGGTGTTTGACAGTCCCGAGAACTGGGGAGTCTTGAAGGGCGTTCTCCACCAGCACTGCTGTGTCAAGGACGCTTGAGCTGAAGGTTTGATGGGGCCGGTGGTGCATTGCCCCGGGCACGGCAGTGTGTTGATGAAGATCCATTGCCCCGGGGACAGTAGTGCGTTCACTGCCCCCGGCACGGCAGTGTGTTGATGAAGATCCATTGCCCCGGGCACAGTAGTGCGTTCACGAGGCTCCGTCCCCCCTCCCCCCCGGCACGGCAAGATCACGAGGATCTCCCGGCACGGCAAGTTCACAAGGTGGAGGAGGAGGAGGAGGAGGAGGAGGAGGAGAGGGATGGATGTTTCGGTCCCACTTTACGGCCACGGCATGAGTTGACGCCCCGGCCGGCAGTCTGGCGCATGTAGTTTAGAATCGTCAATGCAGCAGAAGTCAAGTGAGCGCGGAGAGAGCGCGAGCGTGATGCGTCTTTGCAGACTACAGTGAACTCCACCGTGACACAGTCCATCGATCTCCTGGCGGGTCGGGCCGTTCCATGCGCATGGGCCATGATCGATCGATGCTAAGGATGACACCGAGGGTGATGAGGTAAGATGAAGTGCTTAGTCTAGGTAGGTATGGTTGGAACTCTGGCTTTGGAGGAAGAGCTTGGATTATTTAGGTTGGTGGGCGCTAGTAATTGAGGCTACCTATGTAGTGGTGGTGATGGCAGGTTTGCAATTTAGCTTTCGTTGTTGTTGGGACTGACGTTGGCTGACCTCGAGATGCAGCCGACGTGGCGACGCACTGCTGGCTGCTCTCAGTACCTCCTACATACATTAGGTAGGTAGGCAGGCAGGTAGGTAATCGCGGGCAATATAGAAGTAGGTGAGGGCAAAAGAGGACATGGTGCAAGGATACGAGGGTTCATTGGATGCAGACCCACCTAATTGTGGGCGGACCCCTCGTTTGTGAAGCACATGCTCGTGCTCAGTTCATCTTTAAACTCACACGAGGATGGCAAGTAATTGGCTCTAAAATACGTCCAATTGAAAATTTAAGTTGTCTTCTTCATTTCCAGGTGTTGTGCATCTTGCGCGAAGAAAAGGAGGGCTGTGGCGTGGCATTATGGTCATTGTGGTGGGCGCCGTCATGTCGGACGTGAGCTTGCGATGGACTCTTTCAGGTTGCCCTTCTGCGCTGCACTCATTGACTGATCTCCAGGCCACCAAACAACAGTGGCCAATAGGTGTTTGAAAATTGAAAGGGACATTTTCTCGTAACTTGGTTTACTAAATTTTCTATTGGTTAATTGACTGCGAGTATACTACGAGGTTGAGAAGAGTTCCAACGCAATTGTGCACTCATTGACGACGTTACGTAAGAGCGACGAGACCACCAGAGAAGACGACCAACATCAATACCTCCCTACGTCTGTACACTGCTAAATTGCATTCGTAGGAGGTGCCGTTGCCTGAGCCTCCTCTTCGCCATCTCTGATTTCTAGGTAGGTATTGTGTACTTCACGCTCTCGGAGCAATTCATCGCCCCTCTTGCTGATCAACCTCTGCTCTCCGGTGGAGCAGCACAAAGCCTCAGAAACATGCTCGTCGGCCCTCGCTCTGCCCAGTCGCATCAATAACTGGAAAAAAGTACATGATGGGCCGAGCAAAGGTCAAAAACGACAGACATTGCATCTGCTTGTACACACAGTGCGAGACATACTGGCTGCCGTGGTCCCTTGTTCTCCCTCCCATCCCTGACTCCTGAGACTTGGTCGCTTCCACGTCCGCCTCACTCTCTGCTTGCAAAGTCCCTTCCCATGCCCGACCAGCACGGCGATCCCACCCTGAGTGCTGCAGGTATCATCACAATGCATTCCTACCTCAGTCCCTCCATCCACACCAGGCCACGCCCATGTACATCCGACTTCCAAGTTGTCCATCCATCCGGCCATGGCCAGACAAAACTCGGTCAGACAGATGAGGGGTAATGACGGCAGGGATAAAGCGCCGCATTGATTCCATCTATCAAATCACACAGCTTCCCTTCGACCCGCTGGCCTGACCGGTTTCTGCTCGAAATTGCTGGCTTGCCTGGATCCAAGACATCACGGCCCAATGTCACGCACACCATGGCCGGCTTCCCTTCCCGGTATTGATCCGTCTCAGCTGAGCTGCTGCAAAAAGGAAATCAGGACCAGAGCAGAAGGATACAGAAACGCCCGCGCAAGGAATGCAGCAGTCTCAACCAACCAAGGCCGCCCACCAGGTACAGGGATTGCCTGTGGGCGGGTAAGACAACAATTCGTTCCGCGATCCAGCTCGTTTTAGGTTATGGGTACATCTTGTACATTCCGTGTGCCAAGTTCGCATGCTGCTCAGCATGTACCAATCTCGGGCTGGACCCCTTTTCGGCTGTAGCATCAGTAAGCAGACTTTCTTCTTTTCAGCTCCGATACGCCAGTCAGCAGAACCTGCGACGCCGTCTCTGTTGAGCGGTTCGAGCGTGCATGCGGCGCATACATGCATGCACGCCTCCAGCCCAACCAGAGATTGCCAACAAAGCAATGTGCTCGCTTCCGACACACGGCTGGGGAAGTGCAAAATGCTACATGCCCGAAATTTTTCGGATGCAAGCCCAATGTTTAATGCCACCGCGGAGATACTGGCACCCAAGGGTGCAACCGAACCCCAGAGGGGTTCAATGTGAACTGACCACGACGACCAACATGCATTCGGCTGCATTGCAGCACACCATCATGGACAGGGAAAAGCAGGTTTTCATGCATGGACAGTACTACCTCTCGACTATTGCTGCTACCCACTGGCTATAGTTTGGGGTTGCAGTTGGGCTCTTTGACAACATGCCTCCTTGCAAAGGAACCTTGGTTGTTGGCCAATATGTATGCTCCAGGAGAGACGATTGGTCGAAGCCTTGGAAGGTAGGATATATTGAACAACTCATACTTGCTGCATGTACAATCACACTGAGGTTACCATCGTTTAGTTGTCCAATGGCCAACATATCGCAGTACCAACCACCCTCCACTTCGCTCATCGGTCTCGACAACTCAGGCATGTGGTAGCACGTACTCATGCCAACTCAACCCTCAGCCGACAAGACAGTTGCACCACCGAGACATGAGGAAACACACCGGCTGCACCTCTCGTCACTTGCATTTGGTGGCTGAACGACGAAAGACACGGAGCGTGTCTATCAATACACAATTGTGCAGCAAGCCCGGGACATGTTCGATGAATCAGAATCAACCATTCGGACATGGTCCTCCCTTGCAACGTTATAGCAACAATCCCTCCCCTCTTCCCAGCCTCACACCCGGTGATCGTTGGACCAAATGGATGACGCCGTCCTCTCAACGCCACGGCTCCCAATGTCTCATTCTATCCCTGGATAGTACAGCACACTATCGATGTGATGCCAAGCACACATTCCGAGCCTGTTTTCTTCCGATACCCCCAGCCGCACGAGAAGCTTTGTGTCACCACACTCAACATTCAGAGCTAATGTGAGCCGCTCAGCTTACGTCCCCACTTGTCTCAGTTCCATTGCGGCTGCATACTACGCTCGTGCATGGTCTTTTTGCTTCTGCAACCTGGAAGTACACCTTCACTCTGTACAACGTCGCAGCGACCGGGCTGAGAGCGGTCTCGGTCGCCCCCCCCTTTACGGCGAGTCGACGAATCACTCAGCCAAAAACAAGTTTTCGGCTTGCATAATATTGTTTCAGTCACGAACAAGTTCCATTGCAGTTGTTGAATGCTACTGTTTTCTTTTTCCCACAATCAACGAGCGCTCACACCCCCCCTCAACAAAAGGAAATGTGACAATAGGACGGCGTTAAAGTCAGTATACACGTACACACCATCATGGGGGATAACCGAACGAAGCGAGTTGCAGCCGCAGAAGGAGGAGAAACAATGGGGATATCCCAACCCACTTGTGAACCCCCGACGCAGCTCCGGACAAAGGGCGACAACTCACACTCGATACCTGGCCCGGCGTGATGTGACACCACCATCTCGAAGCGACACCAAGACCGGAGGCGACCTCACACACACACACCCCTCCTCCCCTCAGTCATTTTGGCTTTTGGCTTTCCGTGGTGGAGAAGGGTCTTTCAGCTCGGGTAGTGCACTGGGAACTTGTTTTTTTCTTCCGATGCCCGTCTGACAGTATCGCCGATCGGCGACAATCTCCGCGGAGGGGGGTTGGGGGTTGAGCCCACGACGACAGACTGACGTTGTGCAGTTGTGGGTTAAGTCACACTCATGCTGGTATCTCCCCTTTGGGGGTGGACACTCCGGCTCAGTCGAGCTGGCTAGTCGGGCTGGCGGACTGGCTCCTGTTTGTATACGCCGTACTACCAAGTCGTGGGCGGAGAGCTCCGGCTTGTGCTCGCTCGGGGGGCCATGGGTACGACGGGTGCAGCGGACCAGGCGCACTGCTTGGTGCGCTGTAGTTCAGCACCTGGTGACACTGAAAGGGCCCTCGTACGGGGAGGTGATGTCCTATCCCTTGGGCCTTCCAGCAGGCTTGTTGGTGTTCAGAGTAGGTCTACGGGGCTGATATCGTGAACGTGGTTGTCGAGTGATTGCAGACGTAGGCCGTTGGTGCTCGGTATGGTTTACCATTGTAGAATTCACTGCCCATGATCGGAATGAAGACATCATACTGGCCTTGTAGTTTAGAATAAAGGCAATACGTGCTTGTAGACCATCAGCTCCAGCCTGTCGTCTTGGTGAGTGTTGAGAACGAGGTTCTGCCTTTCACTCAATTGGCGAATGATATTCCGTCTTGGAGCTAAGCTTACCTGCGGACAGGCCTGGGATTGAGAGCGCCGCAACAGTTAGCTGATGTGAATAAGGAATTCTAACCCTTCTGCTTAGGTTTTGAGTTAAGAATCAAGTCAATTGGGAATTGAATGGGCTCCGGATTGAGTTCAGGTGGAATATTTGACTTAAAAGCGCCTGATCGTAGTGATTTTGTATCGCGTAGTCGTGCAAACACGGCGGTCGTGGCTAGTGGACGAGAGCAACGCATCAGCATCGAAGCATCAACTCCCCTGTGTCTTT